ATATGACCAATTGAATGACAGTAATAATTGGTTTGAAGATTGGGGACATAGACGTACATCATTGATAGCCGATCATGTTTTGGTTTTTATGGTAAGAGGAATTTTTAAAGGATGGAAAATTACCATTATCTTACAACTTTTGCAAAAGTCAAACGAAATCTGCACAGTTAATAAGATGCATTAAAGAAATTATAAAAGAATTAACTCAAGCTGGTTTGACAATTATTGCAACTGTATGTGATCAAGGAGGGCCAAATATGACATCCATTAAGAAACTTCTCGAGGATTCAAGAAGTAAATGTATACAAATAGGCCAAGAATATCGTAAGTGTATTCTGTTTTAATTAATATATATTAGAAATAATATATATAATAAAAATATGAATAAACTGATTTTTAATTTTCTTTAAGGAGGTTTTATTGAACTTTTTGGGCAAAATATTGTACCTATCTATGATCCACCACATCTTTTAAAAGGAATCCGTAATAATTTATTATTTAAAAATTTGGAAATTAATGCTACTAATTCAGGAACAAAGGAACAACAGTTTGCATCATGGGATATCATTGAACAGGCATATAAAATGGATATTTACACAAATACATTGAATCGTCAATTGCCAAAATTAACTGATGAACATGTTATTAGATCAAAAATTAAAAAAATGAAAGTTAAATGTGCTGCTCAAATTTTTAGTGCAAGATTATCAGCATATATTGAATACAACAGCAAAATCAAAGGTAATTTGATAATAAGTAATAGTTATTATTACTTTCTCTAATTTTGCATTATATATATATATGTTTATTTATTTATTTACTTTGCAGGAGGATTTGTGGAGACACAGATTGGTCCACTACAAATACCAAAGGCAGGATATAATACAGCAATAGTATTAGATTTTTTTAATAAAGTTTTTGATTCCGTGAACGCACATACTTTGCATCCAGAAACTCCTTTACGTGTTGCGGTAACAAGAAATAGCAAACATCATGATTTTTGGCCACATGCTATTAAATTATTGTCCGATATGCGATATGTTGATCCAAAAAGTAAGCAACCAGTTAAGTGCATACCATCATTAAAAAATTGGATTTTTACTCTACGTGGATTTCAAAACATATGGAAAATAGTTAATAATGCAGATATACAATTTTTAAAGACGAGGAATATTAATCAAGATCCATTAGAAAATTTTTTTGGTATGATTCGTAGTCACGGACGTAGAAATATTAATCCTTCATGTAGTCAATTTTGTGGATCATATAAAACATTATTAATCAATAATTTAACTTCGAAACGGTCTATGAATTCTAACTGCGAAGACAAAAATGACGGTGATTTACTATTTAATTTAAAACAATTTGTGAAAAATGTTTCTCACGTAAACAGTACATCAGAACAAATAGTTGAAGAAGACTCTGTATCATCTCAAAATAAAACAGCAATGCATAAAATCTCATCGCATAAAAATAATAGCCAAATGTATGTTGCTGGTTGGATTGCAAAAAAGATTTTATCTTTGAAACAATTTAAAAATTGTTTAGCGTGTAAACAGAGTCTTCTAACAACAGATATAACATCTGAAGAATATGTGCAACTAGTTCATAGAAAATATGTACGAGAGAAACCATCATTAACTTATCCATCGATGTCTGTTTTCAAACACGCATTTATTGAAGCAGATTCTATTTTAAATAAAAACATTCCTTTATTATTTCGTAGAAATGTTTCTGCCTTGTTACATACACTTTTAAACGAAAACTAAATTTAGATTTTATACGTTGTGATGAACATAAGGAAGAATTAAAACATGTTGTGATACAAAAATCATAAACTGTTTCTATACACATTTTGTAAAATAGTTAATAGAATTTTATCTGGTCGTGATACTCGATATAATTCTACAAATATTATATTTCAGCAAGCTATTGAACATTATAAAAAAAAGCAAAAGCGGTTTATAAAAAATTGTAAATCTTTTGACAATACTTTGACAATACTAATTGTAATACTTTTGACAATACTTTGACAATACTAATTGTAATATTTTTGACAATATATTATTTAATATTAATATTAATACTTCTCAAAATTTATTCTATTTATATATTCTTATTAAAGTTGCAATTATTAAGTTTGTAATTTAATAATAACTATAATGCTTTCATCATATTGTAATTAAACTAATGATATGACTAATGTAATAATTTATTTTTCAGTTTATAACTTTATAGTTGCAACTTTTGTTTTTATTTTTTAAATTTTACTATTGTTAATAAATATATTGTATTAGAGGTCGTCCATATTGAATATTAGTTTGTTCATGTATATTCGCCTAGGTGGCGTTCAAAATACTATTCCAAAGCAAACTGTGGGAGTTGGTTATCTATTTACTTATATGATCTGTGATGAAAGATATGTAAACCAAACAAAAGAAAATAAATGTACTCTTAGCTGAAACAAAAATTAATTTAAGGTTAAATATATTCTAATTGACTTTTCACCTTCTAATGGTCTTTACAAATTAAAAAAGGAAAGAAATAAATTTATTTTTTAGAATTCTAGTCTTGAAGGTACGAAAAGAATTTCTTTTTTTAAATAAATAGAAACAAGGAAATCGATGTAATTATGTGATGATTCGACATTTACTTCAAAGTACTAGTGAGTGTCTGTAGGATCCGTTCTGCAAACCAATTTTTGTAGAACGAGAAACACCCAGATCCTCAGACAAGCATTTCCAAGTGAGAAATCAGCTTCATAGAAGCATGTGTTATGCTCACTAGAACTTCGCTGCGTAGCAGCACGTGTTATACTCACAAGATCTGTAGAGAGAAGGTTACCTCAGTAAAACCGGTTGATGGCGAGGGACGATGAAGTAAGGGGGGAGCTAGAAACAGCTTGATGGCGAAGAGCGATGAAGGAAGGGGGAGCTAGAAACAGCTTGATGGTGAGGGGCGATGAAGGAAGGGGA